TTATTAATAAAAAAATTTAAAGGATAGTTTTATTAAAAATATTAAAAATATTTAAGTAATTTAAATACTCAAACTAAAAAAAAACACACTTTTTTACTGAAAAACACTTTTTCCCTTTTGTATATAACTCTCTTTATCCACAAAATCCCTCATGTTCCTTATATCCTCTTTTGTCTTTCCCCCAAAAAAAAAAAAAAAAAAAAGGTCCATCTATAATTAAAACCCTTTGGTACCGAAAGGGGATACTCTTACTCAAAGTTTTTCAAAATTTCAGATTTTATGTTTGAAATTTTGGCTTCAAACCTGAAGGTGGAACCGTGGAACAAGAGGGATAAAGAGCATTTCCTATTATATAGCCTCCTAATAATAATAATGATAATAATAAACCCTATACAACCCCCAAATCACAATTAAAAGTTTTCTATGTAATAATTAGGGATTAAACTTTTAAGATCAGTGGACTTGGTCATTGATGGCAATTGAATGTGGAGGTAGGAGATGGCACAACAACAACAAATCGACAACTGGTTTTAAGGATTTTATAAATAGATTGCTAGCTTTCGACAAGGTTTACAGAAACAATGCGTGTCCTATCACTTCTACAACTTGCCTAATGATTGGGGAGTGAAGCATCTATTCTTCTTCATTAGGAAGATAGTGAAAGTAGGTAAACTTTGGGATATCTTCATTTCGAGTAAGAAGGACAAAAGGGGCAACAGGTATGGCTTTGCTAAATTCCCGGATGCCAGGGATGATTAAGAGATGAAGAAGCAATTGGAAAACATATGGATTGGCAACCAAAGGGTGATCTTTAACCCAGCAATAAAAAGAAGAGAAGAGAAATGCATAATGGATGTAAAACTAGTGGAGGAGGCAAGATGGAAAAGTAGCAAAAAGATGACCATTTCTAAAGATAGCACCAAGGTAGATGAAGGAAACAGGCAGTTTCCAAAAATGATATATGCTCAATGTCTCCTTCAACAAAAAGATAAGGCAAAATCTAGAGATATAGGAAAGAAAGGCCCTACATTGTCAAAGGCAAAAGACTATCCAAGGAACTCAAGTAGAGAATTGACTAAGGTTCCTAGTCCTAAAGTCTTAGGTACAAAAAGGTGATTGAGTTAAAAGGAACTAATAAAGCTAAAGATAATCTAATGAAGTGTGCTATTGGGGTGGTTTTATCTCCTTCGATCATCCCAAATTTTCTAGAGATATTCTTCAATGAAGGATTTCCTTCAATCAAAATTGCCCCCATAGGAGGTAACCTTGTATTGATTGATGATGAGGATCTAGAGTGTATAAAGGAGCTAGTAGATTGGAATCTAGAGTGGGTGTCATCTTATTTTGACCAAATTAAATTCTGGTTACCATAAGATACTGCAAAAGAGAGGTTTGTGTGGGTGAGAATTTAGGGATTACCATTCTATGCTTGGTCTGAAGAAAGTATATCAATAATTGGTAACCATGTGGGTAAGCTTGTATCAATTGATGAACACACTCTTTTTAAGGAGTACCTGGATACAATGAGAATTCTGGTTTCCACCAAATCCAAATTGGTGATAAAGGAAGAATTCATCCTCAAGGTGAAGAATAATCGATTCCACATTGCTTTGGTGGAGGAGAATTGGAGAGTTGATCCTTGGTGGTTGAAAAAAAGTTGAAAGCTCCATTGGTAAGTCAAATGTGAGTTCATCAATGTTTAACTTTGGTAATGATTCTGGTGAGGTTGACAGTGACTACTCAAACGGTTTAGAAGAAGGGGAAATTCAAACATCCTTTGAAAGTGTCAATGGCATTAATTATCTTGACAATTTGTGCATCTCAAAGACATTTGTTAAGGTGTGTAGGACTAATAATAGTGCTAATAATAGTGCTCTGTCTAATCACAAGTGTGGAAAACAAAGAGAGGAGCATGAAGGCAATCAGGCAAGTGGAAGTTATACTAGTTTGAGTAGAGTCCCAACATCAAATGATTGGGTGGTCCAAGAAACGGCCCAATTTAAAAGCCCATGTGCTAGTAAGAACAAAGCTCATTCTACTAATGACAAAAGGGGAATGGATAATCAGGAGAGTCATGGGCTTCAAGTGACTGCAAGCCCTAACAAGAGTCCTAAAACACCAGGAGAAGTAAGAGTGGAACCAATGAAGCTAGTGACTGGAACAAAGCACGAAAGAAGAAGAAAAACACTACTGTAGCTGATCAATTTTGGTGGTGAATCTTCAAAAGGTTTATTATCAGATAGTGATTTGTTTACAATAACAAAAGGATGAAGGAAGGTATGATCTTAGATGAAGTGAAGAAGGCTTTAGAATTTGGGAGTAAGTTAGGGATTGAGACTAGAAACCGTGAAGAGTAGATTTTGGAAAGATTCAGATGAATGGAAGAATGGGATAGACAAGGGTTTGCTCATGAGCCATAAAGGTAGGTTTTTTTTTTTCAGTTTTTAGAATTATCCATCAATGAAACTACTATCTTATAATGTGAAGGGGTTTGGTAGCTCAATTAAAAGAAGAGAAGTGAGAAGCTTGGTGTAAAAGGAGGAAATTAATTTTTCTTGTTTTTAGGAAACTAAAATGGAAGTGTTTGACAAGGAATTACGTTTGTTTATTTGGGGGTAAGAAAATTTTGATTTGGAATATAAGGCCTCAGTGGGTAGATCAAGAGGTTGATTGTGTATGTGGGACAATGACATATTTGAAAATGAAACAATTGTTGAGATACCAGGTGCCTTAACAACTTATGGCTTTTGGGGAGAAAAGAAGCAAAAGTGTTGCATTGTGAATGTGTATAGTTAGTGCAACAGAAATAAAAGGTTGGGAAAATGGGTAGAGTTATTTAAGATGATTGAGAAAAGGGAAGGCTTTTGGTGTATCGTTGGAGACTTCAATAGCGTGAGATTAGTGGAGGAGAAAAGAGGAAGATCTAAACATTCTCGTTACAGGGAGGATCTTAATGACTTCATTTAACATGCAAGGTTGGTTGATTTTCCATTAACAAGGAAATGTACTTGGTACAAGGGTGATGGGTCAACTATGAGTAGGTTGGATAGATTTCTCTTATCTGATGATTGTAGTTTTTGGGGTGATTGTTGCCAAGTTAGATTAAATAGATCTATATCAGATCATTGTCTGATGATCCTAAAGAAGGTTAATAATGATTAGGGCCCAAAGCCTTTTAGGGCCTTGAATTGCTAGGATTAGCACCCAAATTTCATTAGTGTAGTAGAGGAAAATTGGAAGTCTATAAAGGTTGGGCAATAGAAGGGATTTGTGTGCAAAGAGAAGTTTAAACAATTGAGGAATAACTTGAAGAAATGGAATCTTGAAGTTTGGAAATTTTGAAAATCAAATTGCTAAGGCAAAAGCTAAAATCAAAGAAGTAAATAATAAGAATGAGAACAATAAAATATTAGAGGAGGACAGTTTGTTGAGAAGGGAGGGATTAAGTGAATTATGAGAAGCATGGCAAAGGAGAGAAGTGGCATGGAAATAGAAGATGAAGCTTGATTGGTTCCAGTAAGGAGATGCAAATTCCAAGTTATTTCATAAAATAACAAAGAGATGCAAATTCCAAGTTATTTCATAAAATAACAAATTGAGAAAATTGATTAAGGGCATACATAAAGATGGTTCTTAGGTGGAGAAACCCAGTGTTGTGAAATAAGAAGTGTGTGAATATTTAAAAAAAAAAAGCTTTCAAGAAAAGCAATAGGATAGGCCAAAGGTTGATCAATTACAGTTTAAATAGTTAGCTAATGAAGACAAAGTTTGGCTGGAAAAGGATTTGTCAACGAAAGAAGTGGAACAAGTAGTGTGGGAATGTGGAGGGGATAAGTCTCTAGGTCTTGATGGTTTTAGCTTCCATCTTATTAGATCTTTTTAGAAAGTGATTGAGAAAGATATTGTTGATTTTATGCAGAAATTTTCTAGAAATGACAAGTTGGTAAGAGGGCCAAAATTCTTCATTTATTGTTCTAGTTCCAAAAAAAAAAACCTAATCTTATAGATTTAAAAAACTACAAGCCTATCAACTTGATAAGTAGCCTTTATAAAATCATCTTAAAGGTTTTGGCAAATAGGATTAAGAAAGTATTACCTAAGGTGATAAATGGGACACAATTAGCCTTTTTGGGATGAAGATAGATCACTGATGGCATCTTAATTCTTAATGAAGTGGTAGAGGCGAAAAGGAAGAGAAAGGTTAGTAGTTTTATTTTTAAAGCAAATTTTGAGAAAGCATATGACTGTGTGAATTGGGACTTCTTAGATGAAATGATGAGGAGGCTTGGCTTTAGTAAAACTGGAGACTATGGATAAAGGAGTGTCTATAGATTGCTTCAGTGTCTATCCTTGTTGACGAAAGCCTAACTGATGAGTTCAAAATGGAGAAGGAGATTAGACAAGGTGATCCGATTGCTTCATTCCTCTTCCTAATTGTAGGTAAAGGTTTGAATGTTTTGATTGAATTAACCATTAGTAAGGAATTACTCCAAGGAATTGATGTAGGCCCCTTTGGTCATAACATTTCACACCTCTAGTTTGCCAATGATATTGTTATTATGGGGAAGGCATATCTTGGTAATATTAAAGCTGTCAAAGGGATTTTGAGGTGGTTCGAGTTGATTTCAAGCTTGAAGATTAATTTTAATAAAAGTGCTATACACATTTTATGTTTTCGATGAATGGAGGATAATGGTTGTTGCTAGTCTTAACTACAAATCAGGTTCTCTCCCTTTCACTTGTCTTGGAATGCCAATTAGGGACATTAAGTGCAGAAGGAAAGCTTGGATTCTAGTTATTAATAATTTCAATAAAAAGCTCATACTCTAGAAAGCGAAATGCCTATCGATCAATGGCTAAGTTACGTTGCTAAGGTCTGTTCTTTTTGCCTTCCTTATCTACTTTATGTCTATTTTTAGAATTCCTAAAATTGTGCTACATGAACTAGGGTGCCTACAAAGGAGATTCTTGTGGGGATATACGGAGGATAAGAGTAAGTTAGCATGGTTGAGTTAGAAGAAAGTGTGTTATGGTAGAAGTGAGGGAGGCTTAGGCGTGCTAGATCTTGAGTATAGGAATATAGCTTTATTAGGGAAGTTGTGGGATAGTTTTGGGAGGGAAGGAATAGCTTATGGAAGAAAGTTATCATCAATAAGTATTATGCAGGTGGTACAGTGTGGAATATTAAACAAATACAAGTTAGAAATGTATTTACTCTACGGAGGAATATTATGGCCTTAGGAAATGAGAGGGCTAAAGGTTCATGGATGTTTAGCGAAGGTTTTTGTTGGAAGTTGGGAATGGGAGACAAAATTGAATTTTAGTGGGACAAATGGGTAGGAATTGAACCTTTGAATGTCCCTTTTCCTAGATTATTTAATTTGACATCTAATAGGAATGCAACAATTATGGAAGTAAGACATTTTTCTAATGGCTCTTGGTTTTGGAACAATGTTTGGAGATGTGAACCATTTGGCAGTGAAAGGAACAAAGAAAAAAGGTTAAATGAAATCCCCCTAAGTGGGTTAGTGCTCTCCTTCCAACCATTTGGCAGTAAAAGACGTTAGAGTTCTGATGTTGTAAATGGATATACAATCAGCAAGGCTTACTTTCTGATTGCTAGTCAGAATGGAATATTGGAGCTAAGAATTTGCAAAAGGCTTTGGGGCAAATTGATTCTATCTAAAGATTAGTTGCTTTGGTTGGTGCCTCCTCCTTAATGGTCTCCCAACAAAATCAAGTCTTATAAAAAGGAGCATCTAGCTTGAACAGGCAAAGACTATTTGCAGCATTTGTAGAAAGGATTTTGAGGATGAAAATCACTTGTTGTTCAATGCTTGAAGATTCAGGGCCTATGGATGAGATGCTACAACTGGTGGGGGATTTCCCTTTCCCTCCCTAATACAATTTCTCCTTTTTGTGAAGCTCATTGTCTAGGGATCAAAAAGCTGGTTAAATCTAATGTTTGGTTCCTAATTTTCTTGGTGGTTACATGGTCCATATGGTACATGAGGAATTCTATTATCCATAACTCACAACAATGGGATGATGATAGAATTTTTTATGTAATTCAAAGGAGGACTTTTGCATGGCTAAAGGGGAGATTTGCTAACACTGTGTTTCCCCTTTTCTATTGGCGCAACTCCCCTAGTTTATGTGTTCAAGAAATTACCAAGAGTTTAATTTGTCATTCATGGTTTTTGAAATGCCTTCATAGGTGTTTTTCTTGTGATGTTTCCATGAGGTAATGACCGAAGTATCCTTGTCCTTTTTATTATAATAAATTATTTTGATTCATCAAAAAAAAAATTAGGGATGAAAATTTTACTGATAAAAAAATTAAGTATTACATTTTAAATTTGTAATTAGAAACAAAGATGACTCTATTACTAAATTATATAGTTAATGATATAATTAAAAGTTTTTGTAAGTCATATTCTCACCTTGTTTTGATAACATTGAGAAAGAAAAAAAAGAGTAGAATAGAAGAATAATGAAGCTAATGCCGTAAGTAATTTAATGATAATTTCTTAATTTGACTTGTATGATATATATATAGAGTGAATTAAGAGATAAAAAAAGAACTACCTCTTATTATGTACTTAAGATTAAAAAAAAAAGGTGAAAAATAATGAATAAATGAAATGGAAGGCCAAAGCAAAAAGAAAGTAATAAAAAAATTAGTATTACATGTTAGGATCATGATTGGTGCACACCCGGATCCAACACCCGGGTGTGCACCCCCCACATAAAAAAAAAAATGGT